GGTATAGTGACCAAAGTTACAATGGCATTGAAAAAAGTGACTGATGACCATTTTTCACACTTAGTGACGTTGCAGCATCCTCATGGTCAAAATTTGACCAAAATTTTGATGTTTGGCAACATATTCGTATTTATGATGGTTTCAGTGTCCTGGGGTCATGTAATCGCCTTTTGTGACCTTTTGACAAAATATAAAATTTTTAATCAAACCCCCCCCCGTCAATGGTGTCCCTCTTTACTAATCTGAAAATCTGGTATGCCGGTTTACATATTAAAAGTATTTACGTCAAAACTCCTACTATATTAAATGCTGATATTAGTTAAATCTCATACTCGGCACGGATAAGTGGGCATACTAATAGTTTCCGCCGGTATTGGTATCCGAGACCTCCGAGGCGAAGGGCAGCGGAGGAGAGAACACGCCAAATTGGCTCAGCCAGTCGGATCCGCGGCGGCGTTGGCGTTGCAAGCCCTCTTGGAGATTAACAAGGTCTCCATCCCTGACAGAGGACCCCGGAAGTCCTCCCAGCTCCATGAAAAGCCGTCCTCCGGCCGTGTTGGAGGTCAACTTCCACCGCCCCACAAGCGGCGCTGGCAGGGGACGATGGGAGCTGCCGTCCGACCATCTGGCGATCAACTAAGAAGCGGCGCTTTCCCGGGAGCGCTGTCCACCGCCCGCCCATTCGTATCCGGGTCTCAAACTGGGTGGGCGGCCCTTGAGCGTTTCTCCGCCGCCGCCTCTCCGCAGGCTCACGTGCGGAAGCGGGGAAGGAGGAGGAGGCGGTGGCAGGAGCGCAAGTAGCAGCGGCAAGCCGGATCGGAGCGCCGGCAGGAGGGCTTCCCTGGTAGGTGGACTGACATCTCTGCGGCCTTCGCAGGAGAAAACGAGGCTGGCTGAAGGAGAAGAGGCGCTCAGAAGCGGGCGCAGGATGCGTTTTTCCCTTCTCGACAGCACCAGAGGCTCGCGTAATTTGCGCCTAGGCGCTCTCTGCTCGGTTCGGGCTGCCTGGGCTGTATATAGCGCCGCTTCTTGTGATTGTGAGGATGCATAGATTTTCGGGTTACGCGTGGTTGTTTCGGTTGTAAGAAAGCCAACAACTGCAGCTTAGCAACTCACCTAAAACATTGGGGACAGCATAGTTAGAGACAGATTTTTCTGGGGAGAGAACACAGTTATAGAGTTTTAGGCACCCTAGAAATGAATATTATTATTATTAGAACATAGGGTGGCGACCTCTTCAAAACTTTTGCTCTATTATAATAAACGTCCCACAAAAAAGTCACAGGCAGGACTTCTTAGAAATAAATTTTCCTGAATTTAGTTTAATTCTGAGGTTAGCCTTTCAGGTGGCATTAGATTATTTGATCCAACAGGTTATGACCCTGGATACTCTCATCTTAAACTGATTTTCCTTGGATTATTTACTACCATACCGAGTATGAGATTTAACTAATGCCTGCTTCTAAGTAACATTTTAAAAATCTAATGAATGATTATTCTGAAGCAGGCCAACCAAGTCTTTAACAGGGTATGGAAAACTGGAGCTGGATAGTTTCAACAGTATGAATTGTTTACTGGCAGGGCAGGCCAGAAGGTGTAGTTTCTAGGATTGCAACATCATTTGCAAGGCACCTTCTAATCCCATTTAGGAAATAGGGTGTTATTGTTATTTCTTCAATGTAGATCCTACTCCATATGCATCTAATGCAATGCAGTCATGGTATGAATATTATGCCTGTAACCTTGATCCTGTCACAATTTCCTCTTTTCATTCCAGACCAATACTTTAAACAGCCTTGTCCTGTTCCCTTTGCATTGGGTTTAAATTTCAGTGAAACCTTGATGTGTCAAAGTTCAAATGTGTTTGGCTTTGCAAGAACAAATCTGTTTTTACACATTGACTAACAACATTTGTCTTTGATTTAATGGACATTTATAAATATCAGATATCCTCTCCTTTAAATTGGTCTACTGAAGTGAAGATTTGTATTAAGCCAGACCTGTCCTATTAATGTTCCACGGTATATAAAATCTGAATTGGTGATACCAGCTTGATATTTGGGAAAGGCCCAAAGCCAATTGATCTATTGTAGGTGTGATCAGTTCTATTATAAGCACTATGGATGCAGCATGCTAGCACATATTACATTTATTTCTCAACATTTGTTATTTCTGCACCCTCTGCTTCCACCAATAAGCCACTTGGTTGTCTGGGGAGATTCTCAGTCATCCAGGTCATAGTTGTCTCAGAGGTGCTTTTTTCTTCTTCTTCAAAAGGCAACTGGACTCTGGTTGTTTATTGAAGGGCGGGGGGAGCACTTTTCAGACCAGACACTTAGTTATCCAGTAACTACTCACTTTTTAGTTGTGCGGTTATGGAAGAATCTAATTTGGACTATTTGTGCCTTGTGTCCCATTTCTGTATTCCAGATTATTTTAACTTGAGAAATTGGGCTATGGGAGGAACAGTAGACAAACTAGTCTATAATTGCCTGGGCAGCATCTAGAAGTGAGGTCCTTGCCACCCTGCTGCAGTGCCTCTTTGAGGACTGTTTTTACTTGCTGGTGGGTGACATCTTGAAAGGAACAGTGGTAGTGACTCCAAATAAAGACCATAGAGCTTGATAGAAATGATCACTGGAGAGAGCAATTGTCGTGTTGGGATTATTTTGTGCCACATCAAAACTGAATGGACAACATGTTACTTCAGTGGTAGAGAAAGACCCCCCCTAGGCTATAAACTATAAATAGAGCTTTCTTGAAGATTCTAGATTACAGTTAGTCAGTTTATCATATATATGAAGTTAATACACTTTTAAGTTTTCAACATTGCCTTGGATAGATTATTGATCTGCCTTAATTTCTGACTGTTCATCTGTTGAATAGCTTTATATTCAACTGTTGACCAAAACCTCATAACAGAGATATAGAAGACTACTAAAAGAAAACTATATATAATTCAGCACAAAATTAAATGTATGTACCATTCTGTTCAGTTGTGCCTTTGGATTATCTTGAAAAATTAGACTTTACCATCACATGAAAACTATTGATCCGTAATATGGAATTGCTCCATTAGCATATGGATGGGGAAGATGGTATCAATATAATACCGTGATGCTGAACCTATGGCACGTGTGCCAAAAGTGGCACACAGAGCCATCTCTCTGGGCACAGAGCCGTCGCCCATTGCTCTTCTGGGTTCCGGTGTGCAGGCCAGCTGGTGTCAGCCTCTGCTTTGCTTGCTTGCCATAGAAACGGGGAGGGTGGGGGCATGGTATTGGGAGAGGGAGTTTTGTTCTCACCATCCTCTGTGCATGCTGATGACTGATGTTTGGACTTCGTCAAGGCCAACCGTCTCGCATACCAACCTGATGAGGCTCTTTGAAGATGCACCCCACATGACACCTTAGGGAGTTGCAGATTGGACACTGGGTTGGGGTAACAGGAGGGAAGGGCTGGGCAATCATTTGATGTGTACATGTTTGCGCCTTTCTGGCTCAGATCTTGCTTTCCTTTTTGCTGCTTTCAATTCATATCTAGTAAAAGTACTTTATCTATTCAAATGGAGTTGAGGTTTTTCGTTCTTAGCTATTGAAGGAGGCATGCCTGACAGCTGGTCTTCATGCACGTGGAAGTGCGGGAAACTGGAAGAGCAGCACCCCGTACGCATGTATGTGTTGGGAAGATGATCTTCTGGTTTCTGGTGCACACATGCACACTAGCCAGCTGATCTTCGCATGCATATGCATGCACTGGAAACCAGAAGATCATCCTCCCAGCACAAGCATGTGCACTGGCCAGCTGGTCTTCGCACATGCATACGTGCCAGAAACCAGAAGACCTTCTCATGCATGTGCCAGAAACTGGAAAATTATCTTTCCGGCATGTGCACCGGGCAGCTTCTCTTCTGGTTTCTGGCATGCACGCATGCGCGTGCTTCCATTTTGGCACTCGGTGCCGAAAAGGTCGCCAACCCTGCTATAATAAATATACTTTTGGGGGGAGATAATTGGGCAAAAGAAAATGTGAATCTACTGCTTAGAATTTTTTGAAGTTTAAAATATTTATGGCCTACTCTTCAAAGGAAAATATACAGTACTTTGCTATGTAGAACAGAATAAAATTAGGGTTCAGATAGATTAGACTTTAGAAACTCATTTGAAATCAGCTAGCTAGAGAGAGTCCTTGAGTTACAACTACAATTGGGCCCAAAAGTTCTGTTGCTAATTGAGGCATTTGCTAAATGAATTTTGCCCCATTTTATGACTTTTGTTGTCACAGTTGTTACTTTTTTTTTTTTTTTTTTTACTTTTGCCTTTATTTGTATGCCGCCCTTTTCCCTAGAGGGACTCAGGGCGGCTCACAATTCAAAAGGGAGGGGG